TTTTTTTTCAGCCATCGTATCGTTTTAGTTTTTGGGGAGAGGCCGGCCTCAGCGCTCAATGAGGAGCCTGTGTGCTCCGGGAAGGCTCCGGGTCGTGTTTGCCGTCCTGTCACTGCTACTTAGCCAGAACATTAATCTTGGTGAGCCGTGAATGGTGAGCGTGACTCCATCCCACCGCCAGGCTTCACGCTGCGACTTGTGTCCGGGCCAGGAAGCCCCCCGCCGCACCTTCCTACTCCGCATTAACCCCCACGCCGCCAGCGCCCTTCCCGTCCCGCCATACAAAATGTACGACTCCGATCGCACCGCACACAAATCGCATGTGATTGGCACAGGAATGCGGCGCAGAATCCGCAGCGTTTTCTGTGCAAATTCCACACCGCATCACAATCGCACCCCATTCATGCAAACCGCTGCAGGTGTGTAGCATGGGTGTGAATACCCTAATGCCGATGCGGTGCGATTTGAGCCGTACAAAATGTACAGCTCAAATCACACCGCACACAATTCGCATGTGATTTGTAGAGGAATGCATGCAGTGCGGTCCCTGTGCGAATCGCATGCGTAATGCCGCACCACACACGTGTGAACCCAGTGAGAAAACTAATGCGGCCGCCGCATCTAAGAATTGGTGAGCTGCAAATCCTAAGAAATGTTTTTCCGCGCAGGAGACCGATTTCCAGGGATGGGCCTCCAAAATCGACAGTACATACTCTCCCCGCCCCTGTCGCCAAAACAACGCGCGTGAATGAGCGCCATGACGGTGAACCAAACCGGGGCCTGGCTTTCCTTGGCTGACCTCCCGGCTGCAGGTAACCAGATAAAAGAGATGAAGGGCGGCCGCCGGCGGAGAATCATTACCCCGCGCTTCCTGCACCTGCTGGGTTTTTATGGCCGCCAGGTGAATGGAGATAAGATTCGTGCGCCAAGGTCAATGCATGCCGTGACCCTGGGGGGGAGGGGGGGCGCAGCACTATCGCAGCTCGCATGTTTACGGCCCGACGCAAAATAACCGAGACGCCCGCCTGCGCTAACGAAATGATCGTTCACCAGTTTCTGGCGGATTGCTGGCGATTCAGGGTGGAGGGGGGGAATAGTTTGCATTGTAAAGTTGCGGGTTTATCCGCCCCTTCCAAATTTATTGCGTTTCACAGATTATTCTGGATCACAGCTGTGATTTCGGTGCGACTCGCATGAGGAAAAAAAAAGAAAAGTTGGCGATAATGCGACATTGTGTCCTTTATCCGTGGAGCAACACTGCCCTCCAGTGGTGACGTTGGGGAACTGAGACCATCAAGTACAAGTCACATTACAGTGAAGGAAATGTTTATTTGCTCCCCGGCTGATGGTGAATGTTCGCCCCTCACACAGAAATGATCGGTCTAACAATGGAATGTTTGCCCCTCACACAGAAATGATCGGTCTAACAATGGAATGTTCGCCCCTCACACAGAAATGATCGGTCTAACAATGGAATGTTCGCCCCTCACACAGAAATGATCGGTCTAACAATGGAATGTTCGCACCTCACACAGAAACGATCGGTCTAACAATGGAATGTTCGCCCCTCACACAGAAACGATCGGTCTAACAATGGAATGTTCGCCCCTCACACAGAAATGATCGGTCTAACAATGGAATGTTCGGTGTAACACTGAGAGACAGAATACAACAACAAATTCAGCAGAAATGCGTCTAACAAATGATGACTGATCTGCATGTTCATGAGGGAAAGAAGGATTTGATCCCCTATCATTCAGCAGGATTTCTGGCTCCCAGGTGTCTCTCATACAGGTAACAAGCTGAGATTAGAAGCAGTCTCTTAAAGGGAGTGCTGCTAATCTCATTGTGTTACCTGTATAAAAGACACCTGTCCACAGGAGCCATCAAACCATCAGATTCCAAACTCTCCACCATGGCAAAGACCAAAGAGCTGTCCAAGGATGTCAGGGACAAGATGGTAGACCTACACAAGGCTGGACTGGGCTACCAAACTATGGCCAAGCAGCTTGGTGAGAAGGTGACAAACAGTTGGTGCAATCATTCACAAATGGAAGAAACACAAAACAAGTGTCAGTCTCCCTCGGTCTGGTGCACCATGCAAGATCTCACCTCGTGGAGTGTCAATGATCATGAGAACAGTGAGGAATCATCCCAGAACTACACGTGAGGATCTTGTCAATGATCTCCAGGCAGCTGGGACCACAGTCACCAAGAAAACAATTGGTAACACACTACGCCGACAAGGACTGAAATCCTGCAGTGCCCCCGCACGGTCCCTCTGCTCAAGAAAGCCCATGTCCAGGCCGTCTGAAGTCTGCCACTGAACATCTGAATGATGCCGAGTAGGACTGGTGGGAAGTGTTGTGGTCAGAGGAGACCAAAATCCAGCTCTTTGGCATCAACTCAACTCGCCGTGTTTGGAGGAGGAGGAATGCTGCCTATGACCCCAAGAACACCATCCCAACTGTCAAGTCGCAGTCTATTGTCCGTAATTAGAGCGGTCACATCGGCGCGGTTCCGACTTAGTCGGAGTCGCACCAATTTGTAAAGTAGTCCATGCGCTACTTTTGATGCGATTTACATAGATATCTGTGTCCGATGTCTTCCAAATCGCACCTGAAATCGGCAGGTCACCCGATTTTGAAATCATGCGACTTCACTGTAATGCAGGCCATAGACGGTTCGTTTATCGGACAAATTTTCGGACCAAAAACGAAAAATCGGTCGTTCTGTTGCCACCAATGCTTACGAAAATCGGCCGTTTTTTGTAAATTTTCCAGCATGACCATAAAAGAAATGAAGAACCGCAAAAATCGGCCAATAAACGAAACGTTCATGAAAATTCGGCTGATAAACGAACCGTCTATGGCCTGCATTATGCATTATGAAGGACATAGACGGTTCATTTATCGGCCGATATTCGCGGTTCCTCCTCATTTCTTTTATCGGTCATCCTGGAAAATTTACGAAAAAAGACAGATTTTCGTAAGCATTGGTGGCAACAGAACGACCGATTTTTTTTTCGTTTTTTTCGGCCAAATATTCGGCTGATAAATGAACCGTCTATGGCCTGCATTAGTCTCACAATTTGAAAGTCAGGTTTGATGTGACCGGGGTGTTAAAGTCGAAGTTTAATCTTCCTCCCTCCCCCACCATCGATATGAAGATGACATTTTTAAACACAACCTTTGCATTTGCATGACATGCCTTGTTTTAACCTCAGTGACATCATCACTGGGTCTCTGTGCTTCTCTATGCAATGCGGGCAGATCGTGGCTGGTGGGAGGGAACGGCAGGGCGCTGTACATAGCTTCCTGAAAACATTGCAGCACCCTGCCTCAGTACTCCTCTCGAGCCCTCAGACCTGATCCAAGTAATGGGAGAAGTCATACAAATATTAAAATGCCTTGATGGGTGGGTGTCGTTCTGGAGGAGTGGGCGTTCCTAGGCAGGCTGAATTTGCATAGCCTACGTGGTTGAAAGAACTGAAAGCCAATAAATTACAGGGGCGGGGCCAGGAACAGTCAGGCTGGGGAGGAAAGGGCTAGATCAGGGGCATCTTCCAATGTGTCCCAGGAAAGTCAAAGACCTCAGTCCTGATGCAAGCAGTGGGAGGAGTTATGCAAATATCAAAATGCCGCGATGGGTGGGTGTCAGTCTGGAATCATGGGCTGAATTTGTATGCAGAACACCCATATGTGGTGCTGAACTTCGATGATTGGAAGAACTGAAATTAGAGGGGCGGGGCCAGTCAGGCTGGGGAGGAAAGACCTAGATAATGTTGGACGTTATTCAGCCAGGAAATGGGGCGGAGCTCAATCTGACTGGCTGCAGCTTCTAATGCACATTGTAAGAAGCTCCCAGTGTGCGGTGACACCAGAGGAAGCCGTTTCAGTTCAGGGGAGGAGCCAGTACACCTGTGCAAGACTAAAGGGGAGGAGTCGGTACAACTGTGCAAGACTAAAGGGGAGGAGCCGATACACCTGTGCAAGACTGAAGGGGAGGAGCTGGCACACCTGTGCAAGAATGAAGGGGAGGAGCCAGTGCATCTGTGCAAGACAGGAGGGGAGGAGCCGGTACACCTGTGCAATGCCAAGCCCAACCCCTGAAAAACACCCCCACACCATAATCTCCCCCTCCACCATACTTTACACTTGGCACAATGCAGTCAGGCAAGTACCGTTCTCCTGGAAACCACCAAACCCAGACACATCCATTGGATTGCTAGACAGAGAAGCGTGATTGGTCCCTCCAGAGAACACGTCTCCTCTGCTCTAGAGTCCAGTGGCGGCGTTCTTTACACCACGGCATCCGACGCTTTGCATTGCACTTGGTGATGGAAGGCTTGGATGCAGCTGCTCGGCCATGGAAACCCATTCCATGAAGCTCTCTACACACTGTTGTTGGGCTCATCTGAAGGCCACACCAAGTTTGGAGGTCTTTAGCTATTGACTCTGCAGACAGTTGGCGACTTCTGCGCACTGTGCGCTTCAGCATGCGCTGACCCCGCCCTGTCATGTGACGTGGCCTACCACTTGGTGGCTGAGTGGCTGTTGTTCCCAGTTGCTTCCTCTTTGTTATAATCCCACTAGGACCCCAGTCACACCCTATTGTCCACAATTAGATCAGTTATATGGTTACAACTTGGTCAGAGCCGCACCGATTTCTATAGTAGTACATGCACTACTTTTGATGCACTTGCATAGACATCTAGGCAGATGTCTTGCATGTCGCACCACAAAGTCGGAATGACATCTGACTTTGAAATCGTGCAACTTCACTGTAAGTCGCACAATTTCAAAGCCAGGATCAGCGTGTACGGGGGGGGGGGGGGGGTAACAGTTTGAGCGTGGAATATTTAGTAGCCAGGAAATGTCACGGATGGACTTATTGCCCAGGTGGCCACCTATCACGGGACCACGCTTGGAGTCACTGAGCTCCTGAGAGCGACCCATTCTTTCACCAATGTTTGTAGAAGCAGTCTGCATGCCTAGGGGTTGATTGTATACACCTGTGTCCATGGAGGGGATTGGAACACCTGAATCACATGATATGGAGGGGATTGGAACACCTGAATCACATGATATGGAGGGGATTGGAACACCTGAATCACATGATATGGAGGGGATTGGAACACCTGAATCACATGATTGGGAGGGCATTGGAACACCTGAATCACGATTGGGAGGGGATTGGAACACCTGAATCACATGACTAGGAGGGGATTGGAATACCTGAATCACATGATATGGAGGAGATTGGATCACCTGAATCACATGATATGGAGGGGATTGGATCACCTGAATCACATGATATGGAGGGGATTGGAACACCTGAATCACATGATATGGAGGGGATTGGAACACCTGAATCACATGATTTGAAGGTGATTGGAACACCTGAATCACATGATTTGGAGGGGATTGGAACACCTGAATCACATGATATGGAGGGGATTGGAACACCTGAATCACATGACTGGGAGGGGATTGGAACACCTGAATCACATGATTGGGAGAGGATTGGAACACCTGAATCACATGACTGGGAGGGGATTGGAACACCTGAATCACATGATTGGGAGGGGATTGGAACACCTGAATCACATGATATGGAGAGGATTGGAACACTTGAATCCCGTGATTGGGAGGGGATTGGAACACCTGAATCACATGATATGGAGGGGATTGGAACAACTGAATCACATGATATGGAGGGGATTGGAACAACTGAATCACATGATATGGAGGGGATTGGAACACCTGAATCACATGATATGGAGGGGATTGGAACACCTGAATCACATGATTGGGAGGGGATTGGAACACCTGAATCACATGACTGGGAGGGGATTGGAACACCTGAATCACATGACTGGGAGGGGATTGGAACACCTGAATCACATGACTGGGAGGGGATTGGAACACCTGAATCACATGATTGGGAGGGGATTGGAACACCTGAATCACATGACTGGGAGGGGATTGGAACACCTGAATCACATGACTAGGAGGGGATTGGAATACCTGAATCACATGATATGGAGGAGATTGGATCACCTGAATCACATTATATGGAGGGGATTGGATCACCTGAATCACATGATATGGAGGGGATTGGAACACCTGAATCACATGATTTGAAGGTGATTGGAACACCTGAATCACATGATATGGAGGGGATTGGAACACCTGAATCACATGATATGGAGGGGATTGGAACACCTGAATCACATGACTGGGAGGGGATTGGAACACCTGAATCACATGATTGGGAGGGGATTGGAACACCTGAATCACATGACTGGGAGGGGATTGGAACACCTGAATCACATGATTGGGAGGGGATTGGAACACCTGAATCACATGATATGGAGAGGATTGGAACACTTGAATCCCGTGATTGGGAGGGGATTGGAACACCTGAATCACATGATATGGAGGGGATTGGAACACCTGAATCACATGATATGGAGGGGATTGGAACACCTGAATCACATGATATGGAGGGGATTGGAACACCTGAATCACATGACTGGGAGGGGATTGGAACACCTGAATCACATGATTGGGAGAGGATTGGAACACCTGAATCACATGACTGGGAGGGGATTGGAACACCTGAATCACATGATTGGGAGGGGATTGGAACACCTGAATCACATGATATGGAGAGGATTGGAACACTTGAATCCCGTGATTGGGAGGGGATTGGAACACCTGAATCACATGATATGGAGGGGATTGGAACAACTGAATCACATGATATGGAGGGGATTGGAACACCTGAATCACATGATATGGAGGGGATTGGAACACCTGAATCACATGATTGGGAGGGGATTGGAACACCTGAATCACATGACTGGGAGGGGATTGGAACACCTGAATCACATGACTGGGAGGGGATTGGAACACCTGAATCACATGACTGGGAGGGGATTGGAACACCTGAATCACATGATTGGGAGGGGATTGGAACACCTGAATCACATGACTGGGAGGGGATTGGAACACCTGAATCACATGACTAGGAGGGGATTGGAATACCTGAATCACATGATATGGAGGAGATTGGATCACCTGAATCACATTATATGGAGGGGATTGGATCACCTGAATCACATGATATGGAGGGGATTGGAACACCTGAATCACATGATTTGAAGGTGATTGGAACACCTGAATCACATGATATGGAGGGGATTGGAACACCTGAATCACATGATATGGAGGGGATTGGAACACCTGAATCACATGACTGGGAGGGGATTGGAACACCTGAATCACATGATTGGGAGGGGATTGGAACACCTGAATCACATGACTGGGAGGGGATTGGAACACCTGAATCACATGATTGGGAGGGGATTGGAACACCTGAATCACATGATACGGAGAGGATTGGAACACTTGAATCCCGTGATTGGGAGGGGATTGGAACACCTGAATCACATGATATGGAGGGGATTGGAACACCTGAATCACATGATATGGAGGGGATTGGAACACCTGAATCACATGATATGGAGGGGATTGGAACACCTGAATCACATGATTGGGAGGGGATTGGAACACCTGAATCACATGATATGGAGGGGATTGGAACACCTGAATCACATGACTGGGAGGGGATTGGAACACCTGAATCACATGACTGGGAGGGGATTGGAACACCTGAATCACATGACTGGGAGGGGATTGGAACACCTGAATCACATGATTGGGAGGGGATTGGAACACCTGAATCACATGATTGGGAGGGGATTGGAACACCTGAATCACATGATATGGAGGGCGGGGGTCAATACTTTGGCCAAAATAGTGTGTATATGTACATATATATGAGGTCTACTGTTGAATTAAAGTGCATGTCGGGGCAAAATACGAAGATTCTCTTTCAGTAAATCTCTCTGCAATATATTTCTGTTTTATTCCTGTATAGTACAGAAATGCTCTCTGCTCCGCCTCCCGCTGTGGACTGATTGGTGGCAGCCCCGCCCATTTGTCTTAAACTACTCAAAACCTCCCACTCTCCTCCTCTCTACAAACTTACATAATAATCATTCATTATTCAAAAAAAAAATAAGTTGTGGGAGGGCTAATTAGACTCCTGGAGACAACGGTAGGTGTGTGATGGACAGATCTGAATTTCTGGCAGGATCAACAGATTCTTATTTTGCACTTGTAGAACCGATAGAAGAAAACACTTTCAGTGGTAAACAGACTAAAAGGGGGAAAACAAGAGAAGACCATACCAGGGGTGGACTGACAACTCATGGGGCCCCTGGGCAATAAGGGATCATGGGGCCCCTGTGTCCTTGCCCAAACTCAAAAAAGCCTATGAAAAAGGTACCAGGGCATCTCATGGGGCCCCCTACTGACCCCGGGCCCTCAGGCAGTGCCTTAGTTTCCAAATGGTCAGTCCGCCCCTGGGCCACAGTTGGGTTCACACACACTTTCAGAATTCATCAATTCCGGGGCGTTGGAATGATGTTTGGGGTGTAATACACATTAATAAACACAAGGTGGCGCCATAGCACACACGACCCGTCCTAGCCAGCCAGAGACCCCTTTAGGCGACTTTCGGTTTTTTGTCGTCTATGGCCAGCATAAGTCGCAATGTCCTTTAGCTGAGGTTCACACTCCTGCGGTGCAGCATTCCCTGCAGATCACATGCGGATTCTGTGCGGTGCGATCCGAGGCGTACATTTTTGTATGGCTCCAACCGCACCACATTCACACCAAAAAGACGCAGGACCCTTTTTCTGGTCCGCACTACAATTGGGTCACACAGATATTCACACAGATTCTGCCCATCGCACCGCGTTTTGCAGATCGATTTTAAGGTGTTGTTACCGTACACACCCGCGGCGGTTCGCATGAACAGGGTGTGGTTGTGATGCGGGGTGGAATTCGCTGTGATTTCGGTGTGAATCCGGGATTAAAGACGCACAGAAATCAGCGGATTGCTGTGAAAGTAGCCTAACTCCAGGAGTATGGGGGAGGGGCAGGGGGAGGGGCAGATGACCACAACTGTCTTTATAGATGGCAGTTGTTCATCTGGTAATAGTTGATTCCACAAAGATATTCATCCTTCTTATTGGCTGACATGTTTTCTTGTCCCGGCAGCTTTGATCACATGACGGCATGAATGGGATTCCTCGCTGGCTCTTGCAGAAACGGTAAGAAGGACGCACACGTCATATATACCGCATGTGTACTGAGTATATATTGTACATGCGTGTGTGTGTGTGTATATAAATACACGTAATTCCCCATACATGTAGGCATACAGGGCATTTTTCAGTGAGAACAGCACTGAATGTATGTAATGGCAAGGTGTGCTGGAGAGTCCATTAATGCTCGGTCCTGGGGGGTGTATTGTCACTGGAGGAGTCCATTGTTGCTGGAGGGTATTATTGCTGTGATGGATCTACTGTTGAGGGAGGAGTCCATTGTTACAGGGGGGTTATTGTTGCTGGGGGGTATTATTGCTGTGATGGATCTACTGTTGAGGGGGGAGTACATTGTTACAGGGGGGTTTGTTGTTGCTGGGGGGGTATTATTGCTGTAATGGATCTACTGTTGAGGGAGGAGTACATTGTTACGGGAGGGTTATTGTTGCTGGGGGGGTATTATTGCTGTGATGGCTCTACTGTTGAGGGAGGAGTCCATTGTTACTGGGGGGGTTATTGTTGCTGGGGGGTATTATTGCTGTGATGGATCTACTGTTGAGGGAGGAGTGCATTGTTACGGGGGGGGGGTTATTGTTGCTGGGGGGGTAATATTGCTGTGATGGCTCTACTGTTGAGGGAGGAGTCCATTGTTACTGGGGGGGTTATTGTTGCTGGGGGGTATTATTGCTGTGATGGATCTACTGTTGAGGGAGGAGTCCATTGTTACTGGGGGGGAGGTTATTGTTGCTGGGGGGTATTATTGCTGTGAAGGATCTACTGTTGAGGGAGAAGTCCATTATTTCGGGGGGGGGGGATTATTGTTGCTAGGGGGTATTATTGCTGTGATGGATCTACTGTTGAGGGAGGAGTCCATTGTTACGGGGGCGGTTATTGTTGCTGGGGGGTATTATTGCTGTAATGGATCTACTGTTGAGGGAGGAGTCCATTGTTACGGGGGGGTTATTGTTGCTGGGGGTAATATTGCTGTGATGGCTCTACTGTTGAGGGAGGAGTACATTGTTACTGGGGGGAGGTTATTGTTGCTGGGGGGTATTATTGCTGTGATGGATCTACTGTTGTGGGAGGAGTCCATTGTTACGGGGGGTTATTGTTGCTGGGGGGTACTATTGCTGTGATGGATCTACTGTTGAGGGAGGCATCCATTGTTATGGGGGTTATTGTTGCTGGGGGTATTATTGCTGTGATGGATCTACTGTTGAGGAAAGAGTCCATTATTATGGGGGGGAAATTATTGTTGCTGGGGGGTATTATTGCTGTGATGGATCTACTGTTGAGGGAGGAGTACATTGTTACGGGGGGGGTTATTGTTGCTGGGGGGTAGAGATGAGCGAATCGAACTTGGCGAAGTGGAATTCTTTCGAATATTAGGAAAAATTCGATTCGCGTCGAATCCGAAAAATTAGCAAACTTCGGATGCACGAATCGAATTTTTCCCGATCGGCCCGATTTTCATCCCTTCTACAGCCGGCAAAAAGTGTCCCTGCAGAGAGCTCCGCTATTTCTGACAGTTCTCTGACAGTTCCTTCACATTTACAGCGGTTGAAACATTGTATCTATTTGTTTCCATTTAGGATACAGATGTTTTTATTCGGAAACAAATAGATACAATGTTTCAACCGCTGTAAATGCGAAGGAACTGTCAGAGAACTGTCAGAAATAGCGGAGCTCTCTGCAGGGACACTTTTTGCTGTACTGGAATTCTTCTTATTTTCATCCTACTTCTTCTTCTTCTTCTTCTTCTTCTTCTTCATCCTCATCCTCTTCTTCTTCTTCTTCATCCTCATCCTCTTCTTCTTCTTCTTCTTCTTCATCCTCTTCCTCTTCTTCTTCATCCTCATCCTCTTCTTCATCCTCATTCTCTTCTTCTTCATCCTCTTCTTCTTCATCCTCATCCTCTTCTTCTTCATCCTCATCCTCCTCTTCTTCTTCTTCTTCATCATCATCCTCTTCTTCTTCTTCTTCTTCTTCTTCTTCTTCTTCTTCCCTCACCATCATCCTCTTCTTCTTCATCCTCATCCTCTTCTTCATCCTCATCCTCTTCTTCTTCTTCTTCTTCTTCTTCTTCTTCATCCTCATCCTCTTCTTCTTCATCCTCATCCTCTTCTGCTTCTTCTTCTTCATCCTCATCTTCTTCATCCTCATCCTCTTCTTCTTCTTCTTCATCCTCATCTTCTTCTTCTTCTTCCTCTTCTTCTTCTTCATTCATCCTCATCCTCTTCTTCTTCTTCCTCATCCTCATCTTCTTCTTCTTCATCTTCTTCTTCTTCATCTTCTTTCTTCATCTTCTTCTTCTTCTTCATCATCTTCTTCTTCATCATCTTCTTCTTCATCATCTTCTTCTTCATCATCATCTTCTTCATCATCTTCTTCTTCATCTTCTTCTTCATCCTCATCCTCTTCTTCTTCTTCCTCATCTTCTTCTTCTTCTTCTTCTTCTTCATCTTCTTCTTCTTCATCATCTTCTTCTTCATCATCATCATCTTCTTCATCATCTTCTTCTTCATCTTCATCTTCTTCTTCTTCATCATCTTCTTCTTCATCTTCTTCTTCTTCTTCTTCTTCTTCTTCTTCGTCGTGCCCCGTGACTGCCCAAATGAGTGAAGTGTGCGGTGATTCTAAGATGGACGGCACTCATCTGCATGTCATACTGACTGACAGTATTATTTCTCTTCCCCAGCAGACTCCAAGGACATTTAAATTAAAGGTACAGTGTTCTGCACTAATATAAAGGCTCTCTGAAGCCTAGAAACCCTTTTAAATAAGTTAAATTCGCAGCGAATATATTCGACTCGAATCAAAATTTTTTCACGAATTCGCCGAATCAGCCGAATCGAATTTTTGAATAATTCACTCATCTCTACTGGGGGGTATTATTGCTGTAATGGATCTACTGTTGAGGGAGGAGTACATTGTTATGGGGGGGTTATTGTTTCTGGGGGGTATTATTCCTGTGATGGATCTACTGTTGAGGGAGGAGTGCATTGTTAGGGGGGGGGGGGTTATTGTTGCTGGGGGGGTATTATTGCTGTGATGGATTTGCTGTTGAGGGAGGAGTACATTGTTATGGGGATGTTATTGTTGCTGGGGGGTATTATTGCTGGGATGGCTCTACTGTTGAGGGAGGAGTCCATTGTTACTGGGGGGGAGGTTATTGTTGCTGGGGGGTATTATTGCTGTGATGGATCTACTGTTGAGGGAGGAGTCCATTGTTACTGGGGGGGGAAGTTATTGTTGCTGGGGGGTATTATTGCTGTGATGGATCTACTGTTGAGGGAGGGGCCTCTTGTTTCTATCCGCTGGAAGGTCTAATAATACTGGCTACTAGAAGATCTATTGTTTCTGGAGGGGCCTAATGTTCCTTGGGGTTGATCTGTTGTTGCTGGGGGGGTGTTTTGTTGCGGGGGGTCTGTTTTCGGGGCAATCTACTGTTGCTGGTGGGGGGGTGATTGTTGCTGGGGAGATCTATTGTTGGGGAGGGGGGGGACTTGTTGCCGGCTGCAGGGGATCTATTTTACTGCTTTTCTTGTTATCATTAACAAATTCCATAAAAATTACTGAGCAGCACAAAATGATACTTGTCTCTGTGTTCTATAAAAGGGGCGGGACTGGGAGGTGGGTAGGGGGAGGAGTCAGGG